GACTAGCGGATATCGGGGATCAAAGCGCAACTCAGTTGTCGATCGATCGGCGAAAGACGGCAATAAAAAGTAACAGGAAAAAATAGACCTTTTCTGGTGGCTACGAGTAATATCAGAGAAGTAAAGCGAGCCCCAGCCACAAGGGCGACCACTGAATAGGTGAATTCGAGTAGAGAATAGTAGTATTAAGCGATACGAGCGATTCCAATTAGGGGTAGCAGGGCACTTACGCCGCCGCACGCGGCAAGACGCGAACTGAAGTTTTTTCCAGTCATTCTCAACGTCTTCAAACGTGGCCTGATGGATCTCATCGATAAGTGGTCATTGACAGTTGGTCTCAGCGTAGCAATCCTGTTCCACCTCAAAAGCCTTCTGATGATTCTCGGCTGCTTGAAGGCAGATGAGTTGGCCGGCATCTTAATGGTCGCAATGACTGGACGATGTTGACTGTTGACCGTTACCGATGGGATCACCTTGCAGTCTAGCACGTTGCTTCGTTGGCTCCTCCGTGTCAAAATGTAGTCGATCTGGGTCTTACGTCCCCCACTATAGCACGTGACCAGGTGGGATTCTCTCTTCTGGAAGAAGGAATTGATTATGATCAGATCAAGTGACTTGGCGAACTCCAATATGCGTATGCCAACATCACTCCTTCTGCCATAGGCGGTTATCACTTCCTTTCACCCTCTAGTGCTCCTTGACAAACAGACATAGACACTTAAAGGCGGGAAACGGGCAAAACAGTCGTAACATATTGTGCCGCCGCGTGCGGCGATGCGCGGCGAGTTGGTGATGTGTATGGGTCACTCAGTTGGAGCAGCGAACCTCATGTGAATTTAACCGCAGACAAGACTCCATGATGAGCGATTGAATTTTTCGCTCCTTTCAACACTTGAACTGCTAAACAGGGGAAACTCGTTCGACAGGGGCGGACGCCCGCCAACGCGGCACACTTTCTATTATCTAGCCACATAGCTGCACCAGACATACTTAAAGGATCATACATAGTAGGACAATCCCCCATAATCCCTGTCCACGGCCTCAATGTGGCATGGGGGTGGTGGGCTTCGGCCAGCAAAAGCGGAGGGTGCCTTCTGAGAAGCATTGCAGAACTTCACTCAGGAGGTTCATTCAAATTCTGCACAATAATGATCAATGGATTTTTCAAGTATCCCGATCAGAGCTAGGTTGCCCACCGTAATGGGCCAAACTAGGACGTCCACCGTAATGGACACACAAGCTAGGAAGTCCTCCGTAAAGGACCACCGTAATGGGCCAAACTAGGACGTCCACCGTAATGGACACACAAGCTAGGAAGTCCTCCGTGAAGGACAAGCGCGAGACCATCAGGATCGCCACACTTAACATCGGCACCCTGACCGGCCCTTCTGCCGAACTGACGGACATGCTGATGGAAAGGAACATCGGCGCGCTTCAAGAAACGAAATGGGCTGGCGCTAAGATCGGAGGATTCAACTTGTACAGCGATCCGAAGTCAGCGGTATCGTCATTGCAGTGTCACCGAGGCTAGAGCATGCAGTTCAAGATGTACAACGGGTTTCCGACCGCATCATGAGAATTACTGTTTTTTCGGCAAAAGGGCCACCCACATTATATGCATCTACTATACTATGCACGTGCTATAGTGGGGGACGTGCGACCCAAATCGACTACATTTTGACACGGAGGAGCCAACGAAGCAACGTGTTAGGCTGCAAGGTGATCCCATCGGTAATGGTCAACCGTCAACATCGTCCAGTCATTGCGACCATTAGGATGTCGGCCAACTCATCTGCCTTCAAGCAGCCGAGAATCATCAGAAGGCTTTTGAGGTAGAACAGGATTGCTGAGCTGAGACCAACTGTCAATGACCACTTATCGATGAGATCCATCAGGCCACGTTCGAAGACGTTGAGAATGACTGGAAAAAACTTCAGATCGCGTCTTGCCATTGCTTAATATTACTATTCTCTACTCGAATTCATCTATTCAGTGGTCGCCCTTGTGGCTGGGGCTCGCTTTACTTCTCTGATATTACTCGTAGCCACCAGAAAAGGTCTATTTTTCCTGTTACTTTTTATTGCCGTCTTTCGCCGATCGATCGACAACTGAGTTGCGCTTTGATCCCCGATATCCGCTAGTCGCGATCGATTTCTCTTTGTTGGCAAGGCTTCTAGTGGCAGGAGCCGCTCTTTCTCCATAACTGCCACCTTATTAGGTCCTCACCGCTTACGTATAATCATGAACACCCCCCTTGTTGGATCTACTGTTCAGGGAACCAAGAGAACGCGAATAAATGTGGACTCCTCGCCGTTGGATAGCTGTGTCGATGATCATGGGCTGCGGGATGCGATCAATTTGATGAATTCGGACCCGGCCGTTCCCGCTCATCTTAAGACGATCATAGGACACTTGCTTGATAAGATAATGCAAAAGGATTGTGAGTTAGATTTACTGCTCTGAATGACCTCCCTTGTCAGAGCATAGTATTCTTCAGGTGGTGGATGAATGCCGCCGAAATGCTCTTCGCTGATGCGGATGGTGGCCACAGTGAGACGCAATCCGATTTCACCATATTTATTGTGCACCTGAAACGGTAAAAATTACCAGAAAATTTATCTGTCGCGGAGATGCGGGTCGCAATCAAACCAAAAGAGGAAGGGAGTATAGCTTACAACGTTTGATTGCGGTTCACCGTCCACTGTCCGGTTCCGAGCCTTATAAACTTTGAATATGGATCCAATGTCGCCGTGCTAGCGGTGAGCCCTATCTCGAGGGCTCCCTTACGTCGTTTCGATATATGTACTTGTCTTTCCCCTTAATATCTGAAATTGATAGTGTCGCAAGAACGCAGCCTTAGAGCGAAGGCAGATGTTGAAGAAGTTCAGCAACGAAATTCTGGGCAATCATATCTTTTAGAAAACTATGCTACACGTTGATCGATTCCGATATTGCCTATAAGGTCTTATTTTGGAGTTGTAATGTGGAGGGAATCATATATGTGGTTTGCAGACAACACGATTTTTCATAATTTTTTTTTGCAAAAGGCGTGATTTGTGGGGCTTCCGATTACAACCCCTTGAGAAGTCCTTCATCTTGCAAGTCGACCGCATATCTCCTTCTTACCCTTATTTACCCCTGTGCTTCTGAACGTGAAAGGTTTTCTTATGTTGGACTCTGCTAGGTGGAATCCTTTGTCTAGGAATGGTCAACAACTAAGAATTCTCAAGCTCCTACGTCAAAGGTTCTTCCCAATTTTCCCAAACCCTTGTCATTACCTCTCTTCTCTGTTTTACAACGTTGTCGTTTTGTCAACGAAGTTGTTAGATTACAGGCTACTGATGCCTCAAAGTCTCAGTTTCATTTCACATTTCTTACCCTTATATTGTCTCCAACTGCGAGTGTAGATTTGTCACCATCTCACTATCTGGTGCAGCTACATAAAAGAGTGCTGTGTACTCTCTTCTGCCATAGAAGGGCGCTGCTGCAATTATTAAGGGCATAAGGCCTGATAATTTGGTACACGGTCCGAAATGGCCGCAGTGTGCTATATAAGTGAGGAAAATGCCGAAACAGAAGTGAAACGTCGATAAATCTACAAACAAAGCCCTTTGTTCCACGATTAATTAGAAAGCAAATCTAGAACGAGTTCCGCATGGCATCGCGCCTAATAGAAGCAGTAGAATAGGGCTGCCATGTATGTACTCATTATCCATGCAAGCACGCGGCCGCTTCTTCTTTTCGCTTCATACTGTGAATGAAGCGATATATGAGCGTGAACTACCACCGGTGCGAACATAGTCAGGGCGCAGGGGCGGTGGGGTTCGCGGTGTGTTATGGTCTGCAGTTTAGTGGGGCTGGTCGGGATGCACTCCTTATAAAGTCGCCGCGCCGCGGGGCCTGCTCAGGAGCGCCAAGTTCTGTCCTATCCAGCTATTAATCCTATCATCGTCTTGGACGCTTACTCGATGCCACCCTAGCCTGGAAGTCGTGCTATCAATTGGCCATCATTGGCCAGAGATGACCGGATTATTCACAAAACTAACCTGCTGGGAAGAGGATTTGGTTGAAAAAATACTCAAGATGTTAAGAGCGGTGTTAAATGCAACGAACTACTAATGAAGCAGTTGCACCACCAAAAACTTTTAGTAGAGTGCTAGTATAGTGTAGTTCGCTGCGGACGGTTGGGCGTGTCAGGCGGGATGAGTTTGGCGCGGTGCCAAACCCGTTCTCCACCAGTTGTTAAAGCGAGCAAGTGATATGGCTGGTATCACTCGTTTTCTACCACTTTTTGTCGCATGCGTGCTTCACAAGAAGGCAGAGAATGGCTCTAACAGCATGACACACTCATACTGCTTGACACGCCCAACTGTCCGCAGCGAACTAGAGTATATATGGGTGCGGCCAGAGAAGTCCCACTCATTATCATTATCAGCGGCCGAGTTTATCTAGCAGTTGGCCTCGCACATCCGGTAGGGCTCATTTCTTATTTTTGTATTTGCCTAAGACGTGACCAGTCTTCTTGCCAGCAATATGGCCGACAAGAAGGTGAGGCAGTCAATCTCAGGGCCGCCAACTGATGTCGTAATGTCTCCATCTTCCAGAAGGCTCATGATGATACATGGTCACATCAACGAGTCCACACAAACTTCCCACAGAAAGCCGTCCGCGTCATCGGACAAACGAACTCGTATGTGGCATTGTGGTACCATCACGGAAAACCTGTAATGGGAAAAGCCTGGAACGATAGTGGTGTTGTGCAGGTAAGCTTACAAGTTCAGTGAACTGAAGCTTTTACAAGTGAAGCATTCCAGGCAAATTCGTAAGTCCTTCGCTTGCTTGAAGGTTCTACGTGACTTAGTAGGGACCGCTCTCCAGTGGAACTAGGCCACATTATCTCTGCTCGTCTGCGCTCTTTCACCGAGATAGCGTGACATGTTCTAACATGGCTCCAACAGATCAGTACATATTAGCCGCTCACTGCGTCCATTCATCTGCAGAGCATGAAGTAGCGAACCTCGCTGTAGAGTATCACCTTCTGAAGCACATAGTGCCCATTCAACGTTTATCATGCCAAACCTATCTAGATACGTCGCCTTACCTTTTTCAGTGTGCCTTTGCGGCGGACCGCAAGGCATTCATCGGAATGGAAGTGGGCGGTGGAACCATCCAACTTCTCACCTACAAGGGAACTCATGTCCAAAATCAATTTTACTACGATTGGATCACGTTGTCTACATGGAAGGTATTCGTCTATTTTGCACTTGCTCTTGTCGCGCTGCCCCCTACTGCGAAATCTTAACATCATGCTCCGCATGTACTTTATATGCTGAAGATAGGGAGGGCGTGGCTGCGTACCTCAACTGACCATGGCGTATAATGCGTTCTGTGTGGGATTTCTGACAACGGATATCCTGTCTTGTGCCGGAAAATGACATGATAATTGCCCAAAACGGCAGCATCCTAACAGAAGCGCAGCTAGTGTCTTTTCCTGATGAGGTACACGGCCACGCTTTCCCATCTTCAGGAATGGAGTGTTCATCCAGAAGGCAAAGAACTGCGCTCTCGTTTGGATGAGGTGGTTAATGTTATTCATAGATGTAGCGCTGCAGACAGGAGTCTTAAATCACGAACAGTAAAGCGGTGCCGAAGAAGGTAGAGGACGTTGAGGAATACTCATACCAACATCGGTGATTGAAACTTGCATCGACCGCCATACGATCTGGGAGGCACTGAAGGCGCATTCCGGAGAGTACCTGATAGGCAACCTTTTTTTCAGATAACACAGTTCGCCACGGGCTGTCCCATTTTGCGGCCGTCAATTGCGTGACCAAGACGCTTCAGCACTAGAACTCATACGGCCGCTGATCTGAATATTGTTCCAACGAATGGTGTGTAGCTGATAACGCCGCAATTAGTTTCCTCCCTCTATCCGTCAGCGATCGACGGATCACGTTGCAATAGAGGGAGGAAATTCATTCAGGGAGGAAGCAGTCAGTGATGGAAACGATGCTGGTAGCTTATACCATCCCCTTGTAATCGTCACGGGTGATTGCTACGATATCAAGCTGTTCTCACAGCAATAGCCGTTTGGTTCACGCACACTGTCGCGAGCATCACTCCGTATCACCCGTATTGCCTACTCCCGTTGATCATCGAACACTTAGGCGGTCACTCAGATGTTCGCTTTACATCCCGTGAAATCCAGTCGGTAATCCTCTAGTCTTGAGAACGCATGACGTGCCGGCCCACCTGATCTTCGAAACCTTGGCAAATGCGGCGGCGTCTCTGATCTTCGATCGTCGGCGGAGTGCGGAGCTCCGGATTCCCTCTCTCACTTGCGTGTAGCGGGAAACTCCGAGCATCGCCCTTTCGATGGCGCGTTGAATAACGCCTAACCGCATGCTCATCCTGCTTTCGTAGAGTCCAAGTATCCGAAGGCGTAAGTTAAAGGCACATTCCGCGATAAAATAAGGCTATGACCTCTCAAATGTGTCGGACGATCCGGAAGGCGATTTTTGAGGCTGCGCTACTTTCAAAATGTGAAAAACGGCAAGAACTCCGCTAGAAGCTGACTAATTAGGCCCATGGACACCCCTTAGGCCCATGCCGACCCTCACCGGCTGCTAGCTACTAGCTAGTAGCCACTATGTTATCTTTCTCTATAACATTTCGGACTGCTTTTTCTGCTGCTTTTCTCCGCTAATCAGATACTTAGCACTTTTTTGTGCCTATTTGAGTTCCGTTTCCCGCAATTTGCGGTCGCGAACTGTGCCTTTAAAGCAGGAAGGATCGTGGAATCGCAAATAGGACATGGCTTCATCTTCTTCGCTACTCCCTCGATGTCTTCAAAGTTCCTCAAGCCGATCGCTTTCCTGCTCAGCTGTGGTGCTAAGTCGTTCATCATATTGATTTCACGACCCAGGTACACATCAGCTAGAGCATTCAGAGATGGTCGTTCCGTTGAGCGTGAATGGGGCATCAGAAACCAATCCGTTCCTCATGGACATCGTTAGATTTGACTGCAAACCGATTTTTCCACACGCGCAGTCGAAATCAGCCAGCATTCGTTCCGCTTGCTCGATGTTTGGTGTTATCAAAACGATGTCGTCAGCAAAGCGGAGATGGTGTAGTTGCCGACCGTCGATCTTCACTCCCATGTCTTCCCATTCCAGTTGACGCATGACGTTCTCGAGAGAGAGCTTGGGCGAGATGGTGTCGCCCTGTCGGACCCCTCTCTTCACGTCGATGATGATCTCCTTGTAGAATGGTGAGATCTTGGTCGTGAAGTTGCTGTAGAGCTCACGAAGAATCCTGATGTACTGAGTAGGAATACCCTGGTTGCCCAGGGCTTCGATAACCGCTTCTGTCTCAACGGAGTCGAAGGCTTTCTTCAAGTCGATGAACGTGAGACATAACGGCATCTTGTACTCTCGCGATACTTCAATGAGCTTCGTTACCGTGTGGATGTGATCGATCGTGCTGAATCCTCTTCGAAACCCTGCTTGCTCGCATGGCTGTCCTTCGTCTAGTGTTCTGCCAATCCTGTTCAGGATGACTCGTGTGAAGAGTTTGTAGACTACAGACAGCAGGCAGATTGGGCGATAATTGCCAATGTCGTACAGGTCTCCCTTCTTGTACAGCAACACAGTCTTGCTGGTTTTCCACGAGGTGGGTACCTTGCATTGCGACAGGTAGCGTGTGAAGAGTAGTGCCAGAGTTTTGGCGAGAAATGGGGAACATTTTCAGGGTGTTCAGGTGTGATCCTGTCGGGACCGGCTGGCGTACGGTTCTTCACCAATGAGATGGCTTCTTGACTTTGGCAGGGAGAACTGAAGAACCGATGTATCCATCTTGTTCGGTCTCTATCTCGGTACGCTGGCTGGTGGACGTGGCTGTCAAAGAGATTCAGGTGTGATCCGGACGTTGAAGGCAGAATAGGATTCGTGGATTGCCTTCTCCATTGCCCTTGATGCGCTGATTGTTCCATCCGGACGTCGAAGGCCGGTCACTTGGTCTTACAGTTGGCGAAGTCGCGGTAGGTGTTGCGGGCGCTTTTCCCAGCTGATGCCTCCACCAAATGCTGCTGCTGTTCTCTCACAGAGGTCCTCCTCTATCGCTAGTTTGCATAGTTTCGCAAGCTCAGACGTCAGCTGGTAATTGCCAGCGGCTCATGTCAATCAGCTCGAGAGTTTCCAGAGATAGACGCTTCTTGGTAATCTTGGAACTCTCTGACTTCTTGGCGCAGTCGTGAAGATGTGCGACAAGCCGTTCGTATTCCTCGTCGATGTTGTCGATGACGGAATCCTCCCAGAGCCCAGCGAGAGAAGTGAAGTGATCCCAAATGTGACGGTCTTGGGGCTTTGCTTCTTGCACTTTGCTGGCTCTCCTTCGCGTCGAAAAGTGAAAACTCCACGAAGGAGAGGGCTGTTCGATCCCATGTAGAACTTGGAAAGTAGCGGCGAGCAACGCCGTACAAGCAAACCTTCGATTGAAGATGTTGTGGTCGGTCCCATGACGGGTATGTCCACCAAGAAACTTCTATTTCCAGCGTGATTCGGGAGGCAGATGTTCGTTCAAATACTGTTCATGGCCAAGGCGTATTGACGAGGACGACCAACGCTTCTGCTATCGCATCCTCCGTCTCCACTTTCATATACTGCGTGTAGCAGGCGATGCTTCCTCGTCTCGGTCAGTCTGATGACGTCGTACCTGCTTCCACATCAGGCATTCGATGTCCGCTTTCGATGCAAGGGTCCGTGCGTTCAAGGTATAGATCGGCATCCTAGTCGACTTGACTATCTGTTCGCCCTGGGGTTCTTGCAGCCTCGCCCGAGCGGTTTCAACGAACGCCGCCCTCATGTTTAGGGGAAAGAGGCCCATATCCACCAATGTTCTTCATATGAAGTGACCACGCGTAGCCACTAGGCTCTAACACGGTCCCCTCCGCAGGCCGCTTGATATCCCCCTTGCCACGTTGAGGCTACGAAAAG